GAAAACATTTCACTAATTAAACAAAAACAGAATAACAGCAAAGTCGGGAAGGATTCTTCCTCTACTGTGACTGGGCACTGACAGCAAGCTGTTGTTCTGACTTCTTTCTTTTGTTTTCTTATTAATTATCACTTCCTGGCCTAGAAAACAAAGATTTTTCTACCCAGAGTTCAATGTTGGAACTCAACAGAAACAGTTTTGTGGGAACAGTTTCTATTACGTCTTTTACAGTGGGGAAACAATACACGGTCCAGTCATACACTAGACTATACCTAGTCTTATTTGAAAGGACACCTTGTTTAAACTGTGTCAGACAGATGTGAAAACGTGCACTGTGTTCACTTTATGAAATAATGCTGAGAAGCTTGTCTACTTTTACTGACTTATCCATCATGCACTTGACCTGATGGTACGAAACTGTAGCAGCTCACAGGATGTGATGCGAACTGTTTGTGTTGTTGTTAATGTTCCTTCTCTCAGAGAAAAACTTGTGAGTTAACACTGTTTGTTAATGAGGACGGTCACTAGAGGGAGCTCTTTTGCTCATTTAGACCATCAGACACTTTCCTGTTTTACCTCAAGTGTTTTCTTAATGTATGATTCAGTATCATTGAACTTCTCTTGTCACCACTCTGAAATAGTATTTCTGTATTAATGAATGAAATAATTTGTTATTTCAAACTAAATTAAATGAATTTTACTTTGAAATCAGTGCTGTTGTTAGTGTTTATCTGCTGCAGGATTATCACTGATTTCACAGCTCTGTATATCACTGATTTCACAGCTCTGTATTAATTTAACTGAACTTCCTGATTGTTTGTTGAATTGTTGCTATGGATACAAAGATTGATTAAGACATTTAAAGACACCCTTGTTTTATTTGCAGTTGATCTCTGTCCAGTTTACAGCCTTTTATAACGACTGTCATTTCTGACGTTGAACTCTTTTGTACCAAACGAGCTTCAGTCAGTCTGGTCCTGAGTCTCATCAACTCTTTCTACACAGTCTGTGTTGAGTTTGAAGAGTGAAGGACACAAAGAACAGCTGCTGTCTGTTTCCTGCTGGACTCAGCTCTTCTACATGGAGACCCAACAAGCTCCCAGTGGACTCATCACATTCACTCATTATTTTATATCATGAAAACACTCAGAGGTTACATGTATGAAAATAAAGACTTTAAAACTGATGTATAAATATAGAAATGACATGATATGAACAAAGAAGAGATTTGTCGGCGAGCTACGAGCAGAGCTATCCATGTGATTTTAAACACCACATTACAGACAGTTACAGCTCATATCAAAGTCTAACATGAGCTTTATAAATGTGAAACATCTTTTAAATTATTATGATTGACTTTTATTAACACATTAAATGCTTCTACTGTTAATAAAAAATATAATAAACTGTTAACAAACATCTGTTTTGAGCATGAAGTATAAAGCCGAGTGTATTCAAATCAAATCGAGACTGAATGTAATGTTTGTAAAATAACAAGTGTCCACTGCCCTCCTGTGGTGACAGGAGGAACTGCAGCACATCTTTTGTCAAACGCTCACGACAAACGGATATTATTTAGAGTTATCAGTTAAATTATTGTATCTATATTAACAATCTATGTTTTATCAAATTCTATTATTTGTGTAGTCATCAAGTGTCTAAATTAATAGGAGTTGCCATACTATTTTATATAACTTACTATTATATACTATTACAAATACACAAATATATACACAAATATATACAAATAATATACAAATAATTCAGTGACCAAATGGATCATATTTGCAAATATGATGTCATTTGCATGTCATTTGCAAATGACACTGCTCTGACTAATTTAACTGAACTTCCTGATGGTTTGTTGAATTGTTGCCATGGATACAAAGACTGTTTAAGACATTTAAAGACAGACTCGTTTTATTCGCAGTTGATCTCTGTCCAGTTTACAGCCTTTTATAACGACTGTCATTTCTGACGTTGAACTCTTTTGTACCAAACGAGCTTCAGTCAGTCTGGTCCTGAGTCTCATCAACTCTTTCTACACAGTCTGTGTTGAGTTTGAAGAGTGAAGGACATCGAAGGGATCGGCCTGAACCTGAGACAGAACCTGTCATTCCCCCTCTCTCTCCCCATTTCCTTTCTCTCTACTGTCCTGTCCATTAAAAGGCCCAAAAAGCCCAAAAAATAACTTAAAAAAAAAGACTGAGCTGACATTCTTCAAGTGTTATATTATTTTATTTTGCAACCAAAAAATGTTTTGTACACATTGTATTAAGTATTGCAGGTATAATGTTATGACAGTTCCAACAACAAAATACAGACAAGAAAATGTCAGGAGGTAGTTAGAAACAGACTTTCAGTCATTGTTTTGTAAAAACAACAAAAAAATAAAAAATGTAAACAAAATCTTTTGTGTTTTATCAAACAGGGAATGTGGTGGACCTCATATTTGAAAATGTCTTTGTTGACCCGGGACCATACACAGAAGCTGCTTTGGCCATCCCCATCCCAGAGGACCTCACTGCACAGTTCGAGCGGCCTGAGAAGGAGGAGTTCATATCCAGCTATGTGTCCCGGTTCTATCATGGGGCAGTCTAAAACCCACGTACTGGCCTGTGGTGAGACCATTTGTGGTCTCAGGAAACTCCACATGGATGCGTAGGCAGGCTGGAATGACGACCCAGATTCTGCGACCACCCAGCACCAGCTCACAAAGCTCCTATAGGCTAGATACCTGTACTGACTAAAACAACAAATCAAAGGGTGTGTAGTCCTGTCCTGTGACTGTCAGTGTCAATGTCACAGAGAATGTTTCCAGTATACAGAGAATGTGACACTGACACCAAAGGGTGTCTGTCAGTGTAATCAAAACAAACAGAGTGCAAAGGGTAGTCCTGCCCTGTGAGTGTGAGTGTCAGTCAGTGTGTTGGTGTGTCAGTGTAACTAAAGGTACAGAGGATGGACCAAATCAAAACAAACAGAGAATGCTACCTTACCACATATCATTACCTTACCGCATACCATTTTCTCCCTTCCAGTCTGCAACCAGGCTGGAATCCAGCGGACCAACTCAGAACAACCGGTTGATTCTCCGAGAGTCTCACCACATTCACCGGCTCAAACTCCAGAGAGGTAGGTTTGTTGATGTGTTGTTGTGACTGTATATTGTTGAGAGGATGATGATATCCCTCTCTGACCTGTCGTCGTAGCATGTTGTGGATGTGGGAACACTGGTCTAGGAGCTGTTTCTCTGTCAGCCTGGATGCTGGGTTTCAAATCATCCACCTATGTTTCCTCAGCTCATTTCTCAACCGTTTCTCCAACACCTGACTCAGAGCAACGTCCGAGCCATTTGTGGAGGAAGGTCAGTAGCACCAAGTGCCTTGCTTAAGGGTTCATATATCCACATCATATTCCCTGACCGGGAATCAAACCCCCGATCTCCTGTGCCAAAGTCAGTAGTGTTGACCACCGAGCTGAACTGACTCTTGTTACCTGAGGTATTGAGTATTTCTAATCTATATGTGTGCGCGCGCGCGTGCTCTGAGCTCGGATGAGGTTCCACTCTTCTCCCCTCTTTCTCCTGCTGTTGTAGATGAGACTACCAGCAGCCTCATGGACCAACAGGGTAAAAGGTCGGGCTTCAGATCCGGTTTAGACTGCTCCACGTTTAATGGAGGCTTCAGGTGTTATAGCAGGATGACATCATCCTCTGGTCCAGTGACAATTGGCTGGAATGAACCAAGTGACAATTGGCTGAGATGAACCAATGTTAATGTTCCACATTGTGGAACATAACTGTGGAACATTAAAACTAATGAAAAATGAGTGAAGTGTGGAATCTGATTTGCTGTTATTTTCAGATTAATCTGATGATTGTTTTCTTGAATAGCCAATGAAAAACCAACATACCCATCTGTCGATGTCCGACACCGAGGCTCGAACTCCAGAGAGGTAGGTTTATGACTGTATATTGTTGAGAGGAGATGATGATATCCCTCTCTGACTTGTCGTCAGATCACATCAGAGCAACTCAGAGCAACATCTGACATCGTCCTGAGGAAGGACAGTAGCACCAAGTAGCACCAACCTTGCTTAAGGGTTGATATAGCCACAAGGGTCCACACATATTCCCTGACCAGGAATCGAACCCTCGATCTCCTGTGCCAAAGTCAGTAGTGTCAACCACTGAGCTGAACTGGCTATGGTTATCTGAGGTATTGAGTATTTCTGGTCTATAAATAATCTTGGTCCTGATTGTGTGTGTGTGTGTGTGTGTGTGTGTGTGTGTGTGTCTTTCTCCTGCTGTTCTTACTCAGTTTTATCTGCTGTTTATTGTGAAAGTGAAGATGTATATGAAACAGCAGGTGATGAAAGAGTTGTAGATGAGACTACCAGACAGTAAACAGTTAGTGTTAGCATTAAAATGCTGCTGACATGTTCATCAAATACATCACATTGATCTCATCGTCCCTCTGAACTGTCCTCACACACTGTTTGAGTCAAACTGACACATTGTGACTTCTGAAGTCAGTGAAGCTCTAAATTCCATCTTTGAACAGGAAATGTGTTTGTGACTCTTCAGCTCTGTCTCCTCTCACAGGGAGGAGATGATCTGCTGCATCCTGCTGCTCCTCACACTGACCTCCTGTGTCTGTGGTTAGTTTACTCCTTCACTTTATTATCTAGAAACTGATACAAGTCCTCAGTTAGTCTGCTCCTCACTTTCCCTCTCTGTCTCCTCAACAGGAACATTTGTAGTGAATGTGACACAGAGCTCCTATCAGGCGGAGGAGAACCACAACATCACACTGGAGTGGAGCTTCACAACCAAACCTCACACTCCATCTGACTTCCTTATTATCTTCTGTCAGCTGTTTACTGATCTCAGAGCCTCAGTCCTGTATCATCTACATGAGGGTGTTGAGTCCCCAGAGTCTCAGGATGAACAGTTTTCAGGACGAGTCCAGTGTGACAAAGACGTCCTCAGAGAAGGACGAATCAGACTTCATGTGTCCAGACTGAGGACTGAGGACTCAGGACTGTACGAGTGTACGGTCCTCACCTCTGATGGGAGGAGCTCTGGTAAATGTCGCCTCAACGTCTCTGGTAAGTAGATCCAGTAGAAGTTTCTTTACAGATTCATTTAAACTGCTTCCAGTGAAATCTGGGAAATATTTTACACTTTATTCTGTTGCTGTTATTCTGTTTTGTTTATTAGTGAAATGTTTTTTCTTTACATGAACAACGCAGATTTGTTTGGTCTCTTTGCAGAAGCGAGGGATCGGCCTGAACCTGAGACAGAACCTGAGACAGAACCTGGAGAACCAAACACAGCAAGTCGGAGAAGGATCGTCCTCTACTGTGTTGTTCTGACTCTTTCTTTTGTTTTCTTATTAATTCACTTCCTGCCTAGAAAACAAAGATTTCTACCCAGAGTTCAATGTTGGATCTGAGGAAAAGTTTCAGCTCAACAGAAACAGTTTTGGTGGGAACAGTTTCTATTACGTCTTTTACAGCGGAAACAATACACGGTCCAGTCATACACTAGATCTATACCTAGTCTTATTTTGAAAGGACAGCTTGTTAAACTGTGTCAGACAGATGTGAAACGTGCACTGTGTTCACTTTATGAAATAATGCTGAGAAGCTTGTCTACTTTTACTGACTTATCCATCATGCACTTGATCTATTGGTACGAAACTGTAGCAGCTCACAGGAAGTGATGCGACTGTTTGTGTTGTTGTTAATGTTCCTTCTCCAGAGAAAAACTGTGAGTTAACACTGTTGTTAATGAGGACGGTCACTAGAGGGAGCTCTTTGTGCTCATTTAGACCATCAGACACTTTCCTGTTTTCAGTATCATTGAACTTCTCTTGTCTCACACTCTGAAATAGTATTTCTGTATTATTCACTTTCTGCCTAGAAAACAAAGATTTCTACCCAGAGTTCAATGTTGGATCTGAGGAAAAGTTTCAGCTCAACAGAAACAGTTTTGGTGGGAAGTTTATTTAACCTATTATTGTGTTGTATTCATGTTTTAATATATTCTTCTTATTGATTTGATTAGTTGTTATATTTATTTGATTTAGTTTTATCTTATTTTCTTTAATTTTTCTTTTTGAAAAAATATTTTTTATCATCATGTTTTTACCGTTTTTATTTCTCCTGTGCATTAGTCTTTACACATTTATACTGTCTTAACAGCTTGTCAGTCACTTGTGAAGCACTTTGAGTTGCTCCAACCTGTACAACAGGTGCTATACAACTAGTTTTATTGGTTGACTGGTTGATTGTCTGACAGTCCTATTTAACATAAACCACACGGAGTTAATCTGTAGTGAAATGTGTTAAAATTAACATAAATTAAAATGTTGCAGGCATTTGTTCAGTTTTCAATATGGATATAAACCACATATAAACCTGGGAGTTTTGTTTAGTAGGTTGAAAAAGACTTGAATGGCATTTATAATGAATGCTGTTGAATTAAAATGTGATTAAACCAAACATGCTGAAGTAAAAAGGTGTTTCAACACTTCTGTCTTCAGTGTGTCAATCAACAAACAGACAGGGCAATAATTTGGATTAACATTTATTCATGAAAAGGTCGTGTAGAGACCACAGAGTTCATTAATGACAAGTGTCCATCCAAACATGGCAGCGATACAGGAGGAAAATACAGCACACAGCTAAACCACAGTCTTTAAAAAATAAAATCAGTGCACAGAATCTTACAAAGATTGCATAATATAAAGTAAGGTTATAAAATTTCCCAGAAATAGTGCAATTTTACCACCACCAGGAAAATAAAATGAAACCTGCTCCACTTTCAATGCCAATTGCCTAAATGCTCCACTTTCCACAGAGCCAAAATGTTTTGGTTTTCTCCGTGTGAATTACTTCTAACGAGATGTGATGCTTTTTGTTCTGGGCGCAGGGATACGAGAAGTGCAAAGCCAATGTGCTTTAATGACTACATGTTACTGAGACTGACAGACCCACAGAATACACATGAGTGTTGGAGTACCCACAAAGTTTAAAGAATTCTGAGAACACAAACCCTTCATTTCACTTGAGAAAACAATAAGTGTATATATGACATCCCAAAAACCCATCCATCCTGGCCACACGTATAAAAAGTAATGCAGAGCCAGTGTTTTTATTTAATGAGGGAACAGGGCTACATGAGTGCAAACTAAATGTTGACAGGGTTTAAATAAAGTTTTCACATTTAAATCAGAACCTCAAGCATTACTCTAACTCACTTTAAGAGTATTTGATGTGCATGTGTGGAAGTCTGTGGTGCATGTTCAGAAAATCAATCAGCGTCTGACTCATTTCTTCAAAAACCTCACAAACACAAACCTTCTTCCCAAAACACGAGTCTGATATTTTGTAAATCAGCTCTTACTTAACTTCAGTAAATCATGACGTAGCAGGTTAAAAAAAGCATCAAATAAAAACAAATGGAAGCTACTGCATAAACACATGAAAGTCACTTGTCCCAGACACCTTGTGCAAAAATGAAAAACCACCACTACAAAATATCTGTGCTGTGAGTCTGAGAGATGGACACGTGACGGAGCTCGGGACAGAAAATAACTTTTATTCAAATATCTAGAATTTATATTTAAAAACCCTCAAATAAACCTTCAGCATCTCCTCTGCCACGAGATGAACTTCAAGTAAAATGCCACAGATGATATTCTGTCCTCCAGAGGAGCGGCAACAGACACAACACTTGACAGTTTAATGATCACACTGCAACAAACACTTGTAGTGTTGATGTGTTTTTGCTGAGTTTAGAGAGCAGAGTTTGTGTTGTTGCTGCACTGAGACACATTAGACTGTCAGCTGTTCTTGTTGTTTTGTCCACCGCCCTGTCAGAGGAAGCTCCTCATTCAGACAAATATCACCAACAAATCACATATTTCTCTACAAAGTGTCTTCAATTCCCTTTAACCACGTCATCCTCTCACCTGAAAAATTACAATTTGTGGGTTTGCTGATAGGTATTACACCAACAACGCACCTGCTCATATAAAGACTAGATTATGCAGAAACAGTTGCAGCTACACACAGTATATACAACACAGTAAACACACACACACACACACACACGCACGCACGCATACACACGCACTAAACAACAAAACACAGCTGCATGATTAAAAGTGGCACCAAAGTGAAACAGAGTGACAACAGGAGCTCCGCAGAGCGTCACTGCTGCGTTTCAAACCCTCTCCTCACTCAAAGCCGAACGTACATTCAAAATCTGTTTGTCAGAAATCCTCAGAAAACCTGGCTGAGAGATAAAGGACGTGTCAACAAGCCCCCCCTCCTCCAAATCTGGATCTGAACCCAACCTCAAGCTCCACCTCTCCACATTTGAGGCTGATCGGCCCTGGCTAACGTCTGATGAGGGCAGTGTGCTACATGTACTGGCGTGCATATTCTACACTACATTCCCAAGCTATGGGTTCTATTTCAAAGCTAAACATGTAGAGAGGAAGGCCACAGATCAAAGACCATCTGTCCAATATCCTCATCCCAACATCCGTCTGCCACATCTCTAAATAATCAAGCTCCACTTGAGCGTGCATGCTGAAACACTCAGAGTTTCAATGTGGGTCTAGACATGGAGACGTGCACGGTGGTGGAAAACGAGGACAAGGGACTTTGCTCTTCAACCTCAGAGGAAAAACACTTGATAATTATATGGGGCTTTATAAAGACTCTGTGGAGGACTAATATCTCTTCTCCAGTGTGTTAACAAACAGGCATTTATTCCACTGCCCCACATCAATAATAGAACTATTATGCAAACTACTAATGCACATGCTACTGACACTAAAAACCAAAAGTACTTCTCAGTGTCAATGTGTGAGGAGGTGTGATAGTGTGTGGTTCAGAGATGTGCTGCTTTGGTTCAATTGTGGATGGATTCCATTTCTGGTAGTGTTTAAAAACAGTTTCACAAACACAACAGACAAAAACACCTGAAGAGACGAGCAAACGTACTTACTGTTACTCCTCCCACACAGGAGGACGGATGGAAAGGGTTACAAAGCATAAATATTACATATTATATATATTTTTTTCCATTTACTGATTCCCTGTGAAGATAAAAAACACTGTTAGAAAGAGGAGTAGGTGTCGCATCAGCGTGTCGAGAAAGACTGCAGGCCCTTCGGTCAGAGCGGTTCAGAAAACACGGAGCACCAGTGGACGAGGGTTACACACATGCACACCTCAGACCCACAGAGAGGAGCAATGACAGCCCCCAGCCCAGATTACACACACAGTCAGTCTTCAGTGTATGTGAGCCCCCACCCAGGTCTGTTGCGTTCGTTTCAAGGCGGTGGGGGTCGGTTTGCGTGGAGCGGGCGCGTGCTGGCGTGAGCCTTCAGGCGCTGAAGCCCGGCGGGTCGGTATTGGTTAGTCCTGGTCAGTCACCAGCCTGCTCCCTCTGATAGGCGAGTTCAAAGCTGGTGCACGATGCTGTCTGTGTGGTTGACTGAGACGGCGCCGTCCTGGCGCAGCCGCTGCCACTGGAAGGTTGTGCTGAGGGAGCCCATCTCATCCTCCTCGTTCTCCTGCTCCTTGGCAAACTCCATAAACACCTGGAGGACAAAGACACAGAGGAAGAGGAGGAAGAAGAGGAGAATGAGACACTGGTTTGATCTGTGATTTACACTGAGTCTGGGCTCTCTCTTTTTAACCACCTACCTGCTCTAAGGTTGACTGGGAGAAGTTGTACTCTTCAAAGTTGAAGGTTTGCTTGGCTGAACATAAACAGAGATAACGAAGATAAATTCAAGTGGATGAGTTGGCAGATATGTCCCAAATGGTAGAGGTGTAGAGGTGTGTGTGTGTGTGTGTGTGTGTGTGAGTGAGAGAGTGAGAGAGAGAGAGCTCAGCTGTGACTCACCGCTCTCTAACTGAGAGAAAGACTTGGCCAGTGATTTGACATCCTCCATGGGGATCTTGTAAACCATTAGAGTAGCAAAGCTGCAAAGACAGAATCAGCCAACAGAATTAGATGGAGCAGTGTGTGCGTGTGTATGTGTGTGTTTGTTCTGTTATGAACAAGCTGGTGCCCATTTCTTTACAATCCTATGTTCTTCTCAGCTTTTATTTTGAAGGGTAAATGTGAACATTTCCAGTGTTATATTTTCTGCATTTCACTTTCACAGAGCAAAACAAAAAGAAAAGTGTTGCAATTATGTTTTTATAGGAGTAAATTAGTAGATATAGCATTTAAATGTAGAATTTTTCCACTTCCCTATAAGGAGGAATGGTCTGTATTCTAACTTCTGCTAGCTTTATTTCCTCCTTCCATTTTGGACCTGTGTTGGAAGAGTGAAAAGCGATGGAGAAGTGGGATCACAGAGCTTATTTTCAGTCTCTGCAGTAAGACATTCATAGTGTTGCACTTGGTTGTTCACATTAAAAAAAAGCCATGAACAGTTGTGTAACAAATGAAAAAAGAGACGTACAAAGCCTGGCTCCTCTCTCACCTCCGCACAGTTGGACAATCACAGTGTGAAGTGAGTGTGAACGCTGGATCTTCCCTTTCAGAAAGTTACAGAAATAGTTGGGTTGGGTCTCACCTCTCCTGACGGGCAGCATGAGGGAAGATCCGGAGGATCTCTTTGTGCAGCAGCGCCACCTGCTGAAGCCCCGTCAGCTCCTCTCTGAGCTTCACCTCCAAACTGTAACCTCGACCATATTTCCCTTTTAAATGTTGGATCGAGCCGATACACCTGACAGAGAAAAATGAACAGCATTAACTGATCCAGATGATTTTTTTTTCCACCCTGAATGTCTTGTCAAAGAATAACACACAGCTGCGAGTACCAACCTCAGCTGGCCAGAAACCATGATGGCTACACGGTCACACACGGCCTCAGCCTCCTCCATGTAGTGGGTGGTGAGGATGGCTCCCCGCTGACGATTCTTGAACGCAGCTCGTATGGCTCTCCTACACATAGCAGTGACACATGTCCTCAAGTGAAACACTAAATTCTTTCTTTTCTGTAGCTGAACATTAAGACTTTCTTATTGTCATATGAACATG